TTTAAAAAATTGAAATAACTTTCGCGCATCTCTTACACAAGAGTGCTCTTCTACTTAAACCACTTTTCACTTGGGATAACTACATGTCTAACTATATCAGGAATAAATAGGTTAATAAAATTAGCAATTAAAATTGATATCGAAAACCGGCAATGCAAATTTGCAATAAAAATTAGCAATGGAAATTAGCAATGAGATACATGAAAAGGGAAGTGATGCTGTGATAATGCATATGCCGTTCTTCGAATTACAACCAGCTTGGGTGTCATTGCAGTTAAGGTACGATCGTTAATGGCACTTTGTTATCAAAATATTTATTTTAAGTTAATCAGCGCCTAACTGTGTAGGTGATTAAATTCGTTTCATACACTATAGAAGAAGCACTTTGAAGGATCATTATTAAAGAAATATATATAATTTAAAAAATCATAAATTCTTAACAGAAAATTTACCACTAAATACATCGTCGGTAAACTCGAGCGTTCAATTAATCGAATGCAAATAATTCTATATAATGTTGCAAATTATTAATTTATTATTCAATTGCGTAATATACATAAAACAAAAGCATAATCGGTTAAGTCAATCTATGCGTAATTCTTAATGAATATTAAAAAATAAATTTTTACCTTAATAAACTTAAAGCATTTATTCACAAAACATAAACAACGTGGGTTCAGTTTTAAGAAATAAAAATACCAGCTTCCATATCCATAACAGTTTTTATTAAAAATTATTATACATATGATTTTATTACACATGCATGATGAGTGAACAATGTATATTCGTTGTAAAATTATAAAATTGGGGTTCACGTTCTTTTAAATAAATAAATTCCCATAAATAAAATATTGCTTTGAAATACCAAAATTAGGTTGACTTGTTTTATACTCCATAAAAAAAATTTGAGAAATCTACCGATATAAGCTATACCATACATATCATTTCCATGATTTTCCTTTTAAACATTAACCTAGATAATATTTGTACTATACATATAAATTTATTATATTAATTGCAATAGCTTAAATTGATTGGTCCGCAACAAAGCTATTAGGAAAATAGAGAATTATTATTTTTTCTGAATTTTTTCTATTTTTGCTGAAACATTTTACACTTACACAAAGTGCGCGTTTAGGTACAGATATGTATTGCGTAATAATTTACAAATAATTGAAAAAATTATGCTTGTACGTGTTTTACGTGATATGCCAGATGATGTTGTAAAACATTTGTTCCGATCACTTATTATCTATTTATTAGCCGAGTGAATGTTAAATTATTGTAGCGTTTGAAAGGAAGAAAGAAGCTGAACAAACTCGATAATTATTGGCTTCGCAGTTCATTTAAAATATTGTTTTAATCTATTAATTATATTCGTCGACGAAACGGGCCTTATTTCAATGATATAACAACGCACGATTAATACATATATATATATATATATATATATATATATATATATATATATACACACGCGCGCGTGTGTATATGTGTATATATTTATATATGTTCTTAGTTAGGATAGACTATGAAATTATGCTAGCAATATATTATTTTTCTTACTTCATAAATACATTAGTCGCATTCAAATATACATTACACGAAATATTTCTTGTAACATAAAAATATACTTATAACAAATATATATATATATATATATATATATATATATATATATATATATATATAGTATAGACACACAAAAACAAACAAACAATAACAAATTACAATTATCGATTTAAATTTGAAAGATTCAATGAGCTCGATGCTTTTCTCAGAGATGAGCGTTTAAAAGGATAATTGCAGTACTTAAAGTTCTTTGATTTTTATTGAGATGATAATAAATGTTTGTATTTCCTATCATAATTTCAGTTTTTATCCTGAAAGTGTGTATTCGTAAAAAGTAGACGTTCGAATTATTGTTTCTGAACTATTATCAAGACTTATGATCGCCAAGTATTTTAGTAAGATTCTTACAAGTTAAGTTTATTATTTATTGAGATTTTATTGTATTTCGGTGAATTCAAGTCTTGAACAAAATTTATCAATCTGAACATAAGACAATAAGCTCTGATAGTAGGTCACATTTTGCAAAGTTATGACATCGTGTAGTTCATAAGGTCTTGATCAAAACTTTTAACGGGCAATACCTTTATACTAACGCTTTATGAAAGATAGCGAATAACTAACGACGAAAGAAGTGTGAAATTTTTAAAGAAATTAATCACGCAAGTGTATTAAAAGTATTAAAAATCCGTAGAGATAATTTTTTATCTTTTTAAACTTTTAAATTACTTAATGCCGACGTTTTAATTTAATACATAATAAACACACTTCTATTTCATTGTATTTTATTACAATTTTTTTATCTTTACTAATATTATCATTATCATTACTATTTTTATTTATATTTTTTTTTGTTTTTGTTTTAATTTTTTGAGATCCCATTCAAATAAATATTTGCATTGTCATTTGTTTTTCAATTTTTATTTACGGCGTGAAATATCCTTCGTCTGCCGAAAGTAAAATAATATGTGTAAACGTATTACACAATCTCGCGTTCGCGAATGCGAACAATTAAACATATTTTTATAAAATTAGCCTGAAAGAATGGAGAATTATTTAATGGTCATTACTTATCCCATCGACCTTTGCTCGATTAATTATCGTCAATCGAAGTTAGGAATTGCCGTGGCTTATCGTCCAACAACAGCTCATGATAAATCATAAGCAAGGCGCAGGGGACGTTCGGGGTCGTTCAATTTTTACTTTGCATTACCCGCTTATGCGAGAAGCCGTCACTCCCGCCAAGCCCCGGGCTCGCCAGGAATGTACTTTAAAAAAAAAAAAAAAAAAAGTTTTAAGTCACGCGACAGAGATAATCTTCCGCGGATGCCAAAAAGCCGTAATAATGGCGATCGAAGCACGGGAACGGTGGACATGGCCGTCGTCCTCGAGGCTGAAGCCCCGGAGGGAAGTAGCAGCCACCCACGGGTAAGGGAGGATGAACTCTAACCGGGTCAGTGAAACTCTAAAAATAAATAAACGGACTCGCGCGAATTCGATGTCGCGTCCAGGACTCCTCCTTATCCCACGTGGAGCTCGGTGTCGGGACGGCGTCTCGTCGTGGGAGGCTGCGGGAGGCGCGGCCGAGTCTATGGTTGCGACAATCGCGGACTTAGCTTGAAAAATCGCCCGTGTATCAGGAGCTCCCGCCGGCCCATTGTTACCAACCCCCTGACGTATGCCCCGTCGACACTCAGCGCGATTAACGCCCCCTGGTCTCGAGCCGGATATTAATGAAGCCCGTCGCCATTTTTCATCGGGGAAGTTCGTGGGTGGACGCGACGATCCCGCGCGACTCTTTACATCTTCACGAATCCACCGGACAATGTTGCCGCGACTTTTCGATTTTGTTTGTGTGTGTGCGTGCGCGTGCGCGTGTGCGTGCGTGCGTGCGTGCGTGCGTGCGTGCGTGCGTGCGTGCGTGCGTGCGCGTGTGTTTATCCTCGGCGCCACTCGAACGCGGCTGGCTCGCCACCGATGATTCCGTGAGCGTGTGTGTCCGTGACGCCCCACCGTCGGCGCTCATTGTTACGCGGATCTGAGACTATCGCTATCGTGCGCTGGGAATAACGAGACTCTGATGATGGAAATAGGGGATAATCCTGCGAGGAAACGGCAACGAGAGTCTCTCGACTCTCCGCATTACGGGCAATGCACGAACGAATTGACGGACTTGGCGGGATGGGAATTCCGTGGCCGCGCGATCATCGCGCAAATAATCGTCTTCAGCTATCCGTATGCGTCAGCAGTCACGATAAGTTCGCTCTTGCATTTACTGTCTCCGTTCCTCTTAATCAGGCCGAAGATTTTTTACTCTTTACCATTGATTGTTGTTATTATAGTTAATTAAGAAAACATTTTTTTTTTTTTCAAAAATAAATAAATCAAAAAGAAAGAAGCTTTATTCTGTATGATAATCTAAAATCTTTGATACGCTTTCTAGAGAGATAGAATTTTACAAGATTTATACTTAATGCTCACTCTCTCTCTCTCTCTCTCTCTCTCTCTCTCTCGCGTGCGCGCACACTCAAGATGTATCATATCATAAAAAATCTACGAGTACTTTGATCGTTCGGCTTAATAACTATTCTGCGATAAATACATTAGAATGTAAATTATAACGAGTAATTTTGAAATATGACACTTCATATTGTGCGTAAGCTTATTCATAAACTTATGTAGTATTATTTATCTGACAATTAAATATCTTTGAATATTGATTATTTGGTTTGCGCATTTTTCGAAAATATAAATATTTTCAAGACACACGATTCAGCCTTTATGCATTTTTATAACGACTTGATTAATAATATAAATACCGAGAATGCACGTTGCCGTGATTTGTAAAATACGAGAAATTTAAGTTAAAATATTATCAGTGGCAGTAGCCTGCTCATAGAAATTAAGTATTGGACACTAATTTAACGTAGGAGTATAACGTTTCATCCTTGTCGATACACTGACATAATCCTAATGACTCGTCGAACGAACTATTTCATTAAATATATTGGTGAAAGGTTTACAGACGCGAGTATTTTTGTTTTATTTTAACATACAGAGATTGTCTAACGTAACGCATCGACAATAACAAGTACTCTAAGTGACATGTGTTCTTTTTAATTCGAAGGCCGCTTCGAAGTTAAAGAAACCGTAAGGAAGCTTAGTACGTTAGTTAGTTCATTACGTCTCTTACATGATTGAACAACAGCGAGTCAATTGCAGCATTACATCATAATCTAATATCATTCTCCATATAAATTGCTCTAAATAACCAATGATTGCTGTATATTAAGCGCCGATATACGCGAACCGGATGCATCTTCTTGGTCAGTACGTTTAGAGAGACGATCCACCTAATTCTCCTCCATTGATCCTCCTACTCGTCCTGGTGTATTTTAACAAACGCGGGCAGAACCGAGACGCCTGAGAACTCATGCAATGGCGCAAGCGTGGCCACTACTCTTGCCCTTGTTCTTGCTCTTGGAGATGGCAAAACCAGGACAATGGCAATGATCGGGAAGGAGCTGGAGCTGCGATTGACTGGCCTCACTGTCGCTGCATGTCTTACCGCCCTTGCTCGAGGAGCCGCTCGAGTCCGGACGCTTCTTGCCCCCGTGCTTCTGCTTACAGTGTTGTTCTGAACCACGTGCTCATGCTGCTGAGATTGTTGCTGTTGTTGTTGCTGTTGTTGCTGCTGTTTATCTCCCTCCTCATCATGTTGTTGTTGTTCCTCATCCTCTTGTTGTTGCTGCTGCTGCTGCTGCTGCTCAACGTGCATCTTATCCTGGTGGAGACGGAAATGCTGCTCGGTGTCCGAGATGAGAGAGCCAAAGACGTCGACACGATGGATATCCTCACTGACCGTCGATATGCCACTCAACGAGTTAGAACGCATTTCTGCGCATGTGTGGTTTG